AGATTGGATATTCATATCTGTTGCCAAGGTTATAATTACGGCCCGTTCAAATGAACTCTAAACGAGTCATTTGCTCGGTTCCATAGTGATTCGGTCAAGATTCATTGCAAATCGATGAATCATTCCTTTTGAGCTAAATTGGCCTTCCGGCCCCCTTAAATACATTTTATGTATATTATTATTGTGTGATTCGTTACAACATGACCTGCCAATAAAGATAGCAATTGTTGAATTGCATTTTATCTTATTTTATTTCATGATTTAGACAAGCTACCTACTAATGTAGAGCTTGGAATAGAAAAGAAACTGCTGATGCAAACCCAACCGTTTCAGAATGACATCACCCAGCAACAAAGCACACAGTACAGCTCTTTAAAAAGTTAGAGTCCATACTTACACCATATTTAGACATATCATTATCATTATGTACAACACACATACACAGTTCTGCATTCCAAACTGTCCTATACACTGTTTTCTTGTTTCTTTCTTCAGCATAGTTCCTTTCAAAACAAGGGGCATTAGGCAATAATACTGTCTTATGAGAAGTTCTAGTCAAATCGATACCAGCTTATTGAGGTCTGAGTTCAGGCCGAGACCAGAGTAGGCTGAGTCAAGACAGAGACCTGAAGAGGGTCTGAATGATTCAGACAGTGTAAATATGCTTTCCTTTGGAGAGAATGAATCCTGGCTTCACATCAGTGTCACGTGAACCTCCACAGCACACACACACAGTGCGCACGGGTCCAGAGATACGACAGCACAGAGCGAAGCATATGCACTACAAAACGTATTCGCAGTATTGTAAAACTCGAGACAAGACCAAATCAAGACTGAGACCAAATGCACAGGAGTTCATGAAAATATGGTCTTGGACTCTACATAGACTCAAGACTGAGTCCTCTCTCAAAAACTACAACACTGCCATTAGTGTTGAGAGGAATGTTCTATGCTCAAGTTAAAGCAACTGTTCAAAAATTGAAAACTGTCATCATTTAAATATTGTCGGCTCTTCGATGAATTGCTTCTTTTCCTCTTTTGTAAGTCGCTTTGGATAAAAGCATCTGCTAAATCCAGTATGTGGGGTGGTACTTCCGCCTATACGTCCAGCGTAACCTTTCCAACGTGATGACGTAATCCCTGGCGCGTCGCAGACCAGCACAAGACGAACAATTGTAGTTAAAAAGTATATACATTTCAATTTGTTTTTAGAAAATGACCGATGGTTTCGCTAGATAAGACCCTATTCCTCAGCTGGGATCGTGCAGAGCCGTTTGAAACTGCATTGATTTGGACTTCCAACTATTTGGTTACCGTTGAAGTCCACTGTGTGGAGAAAAATCCTGAAATGTTTTCCTCAAAAAACTTAATTTCTTTTCCACTGAGAAAAGAAAGACATGAACATCTTGGATGGCATGAACTACTGGATAAGACACATGCCTTTGGTGTGAGAGACCCGGGTTCGAATCCACTGTGAGACACCAATGTGTCCCTAAGCAAGACACTTAACCCCTAGTTGCTCCAGAGGCGTGCAACCTCTGACATATATAGCAATTGCAAGTCGCTTTGAATAAAAGCGTCAGCTAAATGAATAAATGAATAAATGTAAATGTACTCCTTACAAAACTATTGTAACCGCATTCCTGTAAGTTAAGTTCTTGCTCTAAGAAATGTGAGGGAGGAGTTAATTTTTAGTTTTTTAGTAGTCAACAACACCACAAATGCTGTCGGTACATCTTAACTTGAACCTGCATCCCTCCACCTATTCCAGTTGATACTGTTTTTGCCAGAAGTGACAAAACGATCAAGATGTATTCTGTGTTATGTTTTTAATGAGATTTACGCATATATCCAAGGGAAACTTTTGGGTGAAATCCCATGGAGCTACTGTAGAAGATTGATCTCCTGACTAGTCGGAATGCCACGCCGCTGTAACTCCTGCATCCATAACATCACATCTAATTCACTGCTCACAAACCACAGACCTGAATACTGACTTATGTGTAGACCCATCCAAGCTCCACTGCCGAATTGGAGACGGATCAGTCTCTGTCTCGCTCAGCGCTCCAGAGCTTCTCCAAAGAGTCTGACACTCCCAGTCTTTAATGTAGGATCAAGAAAAGCTTTAAGTCATTACTCTTTTCAACCCACCCCTCCATTCTTGTCTTAACTACTTTCAAATAATTAATAATGCTGCCTTCAGAGGTAATTTGTTCCACTAAGATGCACAGAGTTGCATTGATCATATATGCCACTAAAACAGACAGGCTACAACTTCGTTCTCTCAATAGACACATACCATGAAGATGTAGAAAGTGATCAATTTCAATTAATTTAGTGCCTTCATAACAGTAAGCAATCATCATTACCAAGACTCCATGAAATGGCTTCAGATGAACTGAACTAAAATCTGTAACGGAATCAGAAATTTGTTTTTAATCCTGCATAATTAACAGTGTTTTAGAATAATCAGTTGTTTGAAATGACTCCCAATGACTCATATAAGTAAGCAAAGCTGTTCTTGAAAGACAGAACCACCCAAGGTAATTAAACTAAGATGTTTTTGCTATTAAATGGAGCTTTTTTTTCACAAATTGTAAATAAGCCATATACGCATGTACTGGTGGATCTCTTTAATGATTTCCAGCGTAAGTATTTTTGATCCGAGGTAAAAAGCGGTTTCTTTCTCTGACACGTTTGGACAAAAAAGTTTAATTCTTCTATGTTCACTGACGGGAATAATGAATGCAAGACAGATAAAATAAGGGCAATTATGCTCTTAGTGAGAAATAATTCCAATACAAAAATTGTTTTAAAAAAAATAATTACGGTAGGTAACATTTATCATTTACCTACTACTAAAGATTAATTACCAAGTTTGAAGTGAACTGTAAAGATGAATGATTTTAGAGAACATTAATATTTTTTTACAGTCTATGTTCATTAAGCACAATAGTATGTGTTTGGGATCCCCACATTTTGACCAATGATATGCATGATTGTCTCAATTTTACAGACACATTGGCAAAACGCAATTTCTAAACTATAACATCGGTTAAAACATAAAACGGTTAGTTCCAGTGCTTGATCCTGATTGGTCAGCTTCACTCAGCGGTTCTATGCATCACAACACCCCTAGCAACCACTCTTAGCAACGTAAACATTTGTTTGTTCTAGTAGATAGTAGACATTTCGTCCCCTTGGAATTATAAGGTTCTATCTGCGTTCTGAGCAGTTTTGAGATATTGAACTTTAAAGTTTTTGCATTCCATTTGACTGTGTAGAAAGAACCTTTTTATTTTCTAAATAAAAAGTTCCAAAATGTACACAACTTAAAAAACAACATCACATAATGTAAAGAAGTGGTCACAGAATAAGAATATGTGAATAACTAAATTTTGACAAAAATGTCAGATAGAACCTTATAATTCCAAGGGGACGATTTTCCTTCAGGTCAGTCCTATATTTGTAATAAATGTCCGCTGCGTTATCTTGTCCTTTTAAAGGGATACTCCACCCAAAAATGAAAATTCTGTCATCATTTACTCACCCTCAAGGTGTTACAAACCTGTATGATTTTCTTTCTTCTGCTGAACACAAAAGAAGATATTTTGAAGAACGATTGGAACCAAACAGTTGTGGGGCACCATTGACTTCCATAGTATTTTTTTTTTTCTACTATGGAAGTCAATGGTGCCAAAGAACTGTTTGGTTCCAATCTTTCTTCAAAATATCTTCCTAGACAGAAGGAGAAGCTCGTAGGCAATCTTTTACTGTCTATGAGGCAATCGGGTGGACATGGAGGCATAAAGTCAAGGGAGAAGCCCCAAAGTCCATTTCTTTTACTGTCTATGGTTGCATCTTGCTTTTCAATGTTCACAAGTTTCGGTCCTTTCAATATAAAAGTCCTCACTACTGACTCATAAAGACAAAAATCTTTGTCTCCATCTAATGGAGAAATAATGTAACTTCTGTTACTGTTCACGGGGTCAGGGACTATTTTTTTTCCAGCGGAAGGAAGGCTTTTAATAATTTTACTTTACAAAAGTTAACTTGATACATATTTCATGGCTTTAATATGTGTATTGTGTGGCAACCGTTTTATAAAAGCAATAAGGTACTCGAGCTAGTGCTGTATTCACGATAACTGTGTTACTTACATAGCTGAACATTAACATAACTAGAAAAAAAGTTTCCACACCTAAACCACAATTTAGGCTTTCCATTAATGTAGAAACCCCCCCAATGTAAGCAAACAGGCGTGTATCCAACATAAAAGTAATATGTTGTTGCTGTTGTCCTTAACTACAGGATCTAACAAAATCCAACATGTTGATCTTTCCTTGTGCTCTGCTTACCCAACAACAAACCCATGCAAAGCAAACCCCTTAACCAACATCATTCACTACTGGAAACTCTCTGGCGGCAGGTTAGCGCAATTATCAGAGCAACACGATGAAAGACCGGGAGCCCCCTTGAGCAACTCGACGTCTTGTTTATTTACCCTCAAAATTACACCCCTCTCTCTTCCTGTGTCATGTTCCTCGGGTCCAATTTGTTTTGTTATGCTTCCACTAAAACTGAACAACTATGCGTGTGGTCGCCATAATTTTAACAGGCTGACACTCTCTCTCCACACACACACACACATTCCGGCCTGTTGCCCTCTCACCCCCTTGACACCTTTAACCGCAGCACTTTGCAGGACAGCGAGGGGAAGGAGGGGAACTTCAAAGTGGCCGGAGGGGGTGCTTCTTTTTCCTGCCACTTGTCATCATCTAAGGGTCTTTGCTGCCTCCCTTATTACTTTAATCAATTCCAACTGCTTGGAGAGGCTTTGATGGGGGCCGGAGCAGAGCATGCTGGGAGCACCTGCCGCTGAGCAGAGCACAGGTGGCCCGCAGAGACTCCAGACCATAATAAAAGCGCTGTTACCCAGCGATTCATGCACATAAATAAACCACTAAACAATATCAACGTTTAACAGATTGAGCACAGGATCACCAGTAAAAGAATCATTTTATTAGTCATACATTTAATACATGCACACAGTCAAAATAATTCTGTAAATATGCAAAAGTGAAGTCCGGGATGAGTGTTTCAGCAGAACTGGGTTGCGTCGCCCTCTGCTGGCGTCTCCACAGCGAGACTAGAAGTCAAGAAGCTGCAAAGGAAAATCAGACATGGTCAGAAATCATGATAGTTTTGCTAGTACGCAACACACAAAACAATGCAGTCTGACAGATTGAGGGTATTTTAAGGTTTAGGAGAAGCACAGAAACACGGCTAACTGTACAGAACTGTGACGTTTTTTAAAATCCAATTTTAAGAAAGTCAGCTTTTTAGAAGGACAACTGTTTTGTGGTCATTTTTAATGAGTCCATTGTTTGTTCAATAATTCAATATTAATTATATAAATATACAGCACCGGTCAACAGTTTAGAAACATTACAATTGTTTTATGTTTTTGAAAGAAGTCTCTTCTGCTCACAAAGCCTGCTTTTTTTTTTAATCAAAACGCCAGTGAAAAAGTAATAGTGACATATTACAATATAAAATAAAAAATATATAGTAAAAATGTAATGTATTCCTGTGAAGACTAGAGTAATGATGCTAAAAATACAGCTTTGATCCGTGTCACATGATCTTTCAGAAATCATTTTTATATTATGATCAAGAAACATTTATCATTATATCAGTTGAAATATGTTTTTTTAAAATAGCTTAACAGTTGTGGAAACAATGATACCATTCAAACATTTGTGGCACGATTTTTAAAAAAGAGAGAATTTAATACTTTTATTCTCTCTTGATCAAAAGTGACAGTGAAGACATTTATAAAGTTACAAAATATTTCGATTTAATAAATGTAATTTAAAAAAACATACATTCTATTTCTCTTTCTATATTCTCTTTCTATTAAAAAAAAATCCTGATACAAGTATCACAATTTCCACAAAAATATTAAGCAGCGCAACTTGTTTTCATAATCATAAATGTTTCTTGATCATCAAATCATCATATTAGAGTGATTTCTGGAGGATCATGTGACACTGTAGACTGGAGTAATGATGCTGAAAATTCAGCTTTGATCACATTACATTTTACAATACATCCAAATAGAAAACAGTTATTTTAAATTGTAATAATATTTCACAATATTAAACCTTAATGTATTTCTTTTAATCAAATCAAATAAATGTAGGCTTGGTGAGCAGAAGAGACTCTTCCAAAAACATTTTAAAAAGTGTTAATGTTTCCAATATTTTGACGAGTACTGTATATACAGTTGTGGCCAGAATGAATGGCACCCCTGGTAAATATGATCAAAAATGGCTGTAAAAAAATCCTTTTGATCTTTCATTAAAAAAATTGCAAAAAGCTAACCTTTCATTGAAGTAAAATAATTGAAATTGGGGGGGGAAATCAAATCACATTATGAAATAAATGTTTTTCTCCAAAACACGTTGGCCACAAATATTGGCACCCTTTTATTAAATACTCTTTGAAACCTCCTTTCTCCAAGATACCAGTTCTGAGTCTTCTCCTATAATGCCGGATGAGTTTGGAGAACACCTGACCTGAGATCAGAGACCATGCCTCCATACTGACTCTCTCCAGATCCATGCTGGCGCTTCTCTTCAGTTCAGCACACTCACTCCTATAGGGTTCAGTTTAGGGGACTGGGACGGTCATTTCACATTTTTGTGTTGATTTTGATGTTTGTTTTGGATCGTTGTCCTGATGGAAGATCCAAACACGGCCCATTATAAGATTTCTAGCAGAAGGCGTCAGGTTTTGATTTTTCATCTGTTGATATTTGCTAGAATCCACGATGCCATGTATCTGAACAAGAAGTCCAGGACTTCCAGCAGAAAAATATGCCCACAACATTATAGATCCAACGGTATATTCAACCGTGGACATGGGGTACTTTTTATCCCTGTTTGCACCAAACACATCTGGTCAATGAAACTTAAAAAAATTGCTTTTTTCAAGTTTCATCGGACAGAATTTGGTCCCTTTAGAAGATCCAGTCGTGTCTGACAACTGAGTTTGCTGGAGTTTGTTCTTGGACGAGTGAGAATGATTTTTCTTAAAGCCCTCCCAAACAACATGTGGGGATAAGGGGTTGTTTGATGTTATTTTAAGGCTTTCTGACCCCAAGACTCAACTAATCTCTGCAATTCTCCATCTGTGATCCTTGAAGAGTCTTTGGCCACTCAAACTCTCCTCCTCACCGTCCATTAAGGCAATATAGACACTTCCTGGCAGACTCGTAACATCTTTAGTTGATTGGAACTTCTTAATTATTGCCCTGATGGTCAAAATGGGCATTTTCAATGCTTTACCTATTTGCTTACAGCCACTTTCTATTTTGTGAAGCTCAACAAGCTTTTGCTGCACATCAGAACTATATTCTTTGGTTTTACTCAATGTAATGGATGATTAAGGGAAATTGGCCTTTGTGTTTCCTCATATTTAAACTCCTGTGAAACAAGAAGTCATGGCTGGACAATTTCATGTTCCTAATCACCCTGGTGTGCTAAAAAAAGGTAAACATTAATGGGAATATCCTTCAGAGATATTTTAGTCGTAAAAAATTCTAGGGGTGCCAATAATTGTGGCCAACGTGTTTTGGAGAAAAACATTGATTTCATAATGTGATTTCCCCCCCACTTTCAATTCTTTTACTTAGAGATGCACCGATTACAATTTTCTAGGCCGATTCCGATTTCCGATTTTTCTTGAGTTTGACCTGCCGATACCGATTTCCTTTTTTTAAACCACTTTACAGCACACACAAATATTTATTTTCTATCTTCTCTTTAATAGAACATTTTGCATAGAACATTTTTTTTGACAGATAATCTCTATAAAATAGGACTATATAAATTACTCCTGGTGTGGGAAATCCACACACATCTAAAGTGCAGTGTTATGGAAGAAGCATTTCTTTCTTTTCACATCCAAAATCCAACTAAATAAAATTGATATATTTAGCAAACTAAACTTTTGTATGAAAACAGGTAATGGCAATAAAATAATATATAAATAACAAATATACCAATAAAATAAATATAGCCTACCCTTGCAGTATATATTTCTCAACACACGCACAGGCCTATTGCAATCACTTGTACATCAATGTTATATTTCTCAAACAGTTTTTCTCTCTGACACATGTCCAGCCAAGCTAAACAGGACAAGTGGAGCATGTGCAGGGAAAGATTGGGAATAAAAACAAGTTATTTTCTATAAATATTTTTGAGTCTTAATTTTCTTTTCTGACATTGCCTGGCTACTTCAGTTCTTGTTAAAACACACCAGAGGTGCAAATTCTGTGCATTTTGGGCACTTTTGTCCATCAAAAGTGTGCTTTCACTTTAATTGAGCGCGAGCAGAATAGACTCGGCGCTGAAACCCGCGCTTCACTAGCCGCGTTTCCATTACCCTTCAAATTGCGCAAATTGAAATTGCGAATTGAAATTACGCTCAATGGAAACACGTCAATTTCGCAAAAACTCCCATTTATCGCAAAAAAGTTTTTACGCTCGCATGAGGAGGTTTTTCAGGCAATTCGAAAAAGGAATATTTCGCAAAACTGCAATGGAAACAGTTTTTGCGCATTTACAGTCACCTGACTTAGAATACGCGGTGTGTTTGGGGTCCGTGGTATACGCAAATAATAATAGGCTAATAATTATCATCCTTATAACATTTATTAGGCTACATATTTAGAAGATGCTTTTATCCAAAAAAAGGAACAAAGCAATTAGTCAAATGTCATTCATAATGGTTAGACAATAATAATACAGGGCTAAGATTATCACAAATAAACACAAGATTTTGACGCATATCCAAGTGTTTGTGCAGAGTGTGGAGCGCGCGCTGCAGGCAGGGAGACGCGGGCGCGAACACTTGCATTTTCCTATCAACAGTGGAAACAACTTAAAATACTCTATAATTTCTGGTCATACAGAAAATAATACTACATTATTCGCGCAACTATGCTTTTATTTGTGTAAACTTACAATAACAAGAAAACGTTGTGCTTTTGTAAAATGAAAGAAAACAATCATTCTGATTATGTAATCCGTATGAAAGGTGCATTTCTCTCTAAAGGTGCATTCGCGCGGCGCGCCTCAGCGGAGATGGAGATATGTTTTTAGCCGACACTAATTTAGAAAACAATAGTTTATTAATAAAATTAAAATGCCTCGTTATTCTTTCAGACACATTTATTGTCATTAGCCTATAACTCACCTAAAGACACCTTTCTGTAGGCTGTGGTTCCAGAGACATAGGCCTAAATATGGCTCTTCTCATTCAGCACTGCGGGAAAAATATAATTTTCAGGTTCTAATTTGGCCTTAGAAAACCATTAAAATCTACTTCTTTTTTTTGTATTAAGTTGTGAATATTTTAAATGTTTAATAAAGGGGCAAAAAGTCATAAACAAACATCTTAAATTTAGTCTTTTTTTTTTTTTGCGCAGCATTTGTGTACAGTTCAAATTTAAAAAAAAATTGGTGTTCAACTTTGCATTTTAAAAAAACAACCACCGTTCATTTTACGTTTTGCAATACGGGTTAAATAAGGAAAAACGAATGGACACAAATGTAGGCTACACTGACCGTTTGTACTTTGGACAGAGTTCTTTATTAAATTCATAAAAGAAACAATAGGCTACAGGAATACTGGATTCTAAACCTCAAAGAAATGCCACAATCAGACCTCGGAGCAGAAATGAGGGAGAAACACCCAGAAACTCCTTATGCCGTTCGCAGTATACGGGTCTTTCCCTGCCATTAATGCTTGGATAACACACCACGTCTCCTTCTATTAATAATAATGTCTATTGTGGTGGTGGCTGTGATTTAGGGATATAGGCTATAAACCTACCCGTTGATGTTTAAATGACTTATCGCGAGAGGGAAAAAAGGACGTTGTAGTCGCATAACATCAGTAAATGGAAACGCCGTCATTTCGCAATAGTTTTTTATCGACATTTAGAAAAAAATCGCAAAAGTTTTGCGCAAATCTGTAATGGAAACGCGCTAACTGTTGCTCACGCGCCGCTCCTGCTTGACGCTCACGCGCTGCTCCGGCTCCCGGTGTGAATGCACTCATTGATTAACATGCACGCCGAAGAAAAAAAAAAAACGCGCTGCTCACGCTTGCTGTGTGAAACGGTCGTAATTCACGAGGTTTCCTACATGTGTGTGTTCCGTGTGCACGTGTGATGCTGATGTTGCGCGATGTTAATCATGCGGCGCCCGAGTGCATTTGACCGACATAAAATCGGCATATGTCAGACTGACCGGCCGGTCGCCGATCATGGCCGATCACGTGAAAATCGGCCAATTCCGGTCACCAGCCGATCAATCGGTGCATCTCTACTTTTACTTCAATGCAAGGTTATCAATCATCTTTTATCCTTAAGTGTTTTTTCTTTAATTGCTAATGCTCTTTTTACACACAGACTGAACAACATGAAGCATTGCTTGGTAATCGGTTGAGCTAAACTGGTATTATCTAATTGTGTAGTTAAATTTAACAGCTGACAGATATTCAACATAATTCATCTGAGAGAGTCTAACAGAAGGACGGACAAAACCACTGAAATATCCACTGATTTAATAACTCAGTTCTTCTCATATTTACTACCATTTTCTAAACTATAGCGAATAAACTGTGATAATGTGAGAAATGTTGAAGGTGTCTGAATAAATGTTGGTATGACTGTAAATCAGGAGACTTTGTAACTTTGCAGATCGTATACAGGCACACACTAAAGGAAAACATCAAAAAGCATCATATGACCCCTTTAAAAATAACAATAGATATCTCAAACACAAGCAAAAAACAGACAAAACTCACCAATTGTGGCAGAATCTTCTCAAAGTGCTCAATATCGATGGTGTCACAGTCTTCACTGCTGGCCTGTTTAACAGCTCTGCGCGTCGCCTCTGTGACACACACACCGTCCTCACATTAATACTGGGAGAAACTAGACCACACCGTATCCGTGACCGCTAACGTCTCTTACCTTCAACAAACACCTTCAGCATCTCCGTCACGAGGATGACAGCATCACTGCTGACTGAGAGAAAACCTTCATGACCGAACGCTGACATGAGAACATTTTCTTCCTGAGTAGCTGTAATGTGTCTGTCTTTATCCGACTCTCACACACATGCAGAGCGGCACCAAAACTAGTTCAGTGAAATTGAACTGGAACCGGCTGCAAGTGATCATGTTGCTTTCGGAGATGACCAGAGAAACTCCTGAGAGTTCATTTATATAAAAGCCTCATTCCAACACAGAATTAAAGAATAATAATAATAAAAGGTAATTACGAATTTATATCTCACAATCCTAAGGAAAAAAGTCCGAATTGCAGGTTATAATCTCACAATTCTGTCTTGCAGAGAAGTTATAATTTTTATGTATCTGATGTGAGAATCAATTAGCTACAAATTCTGTACTAAATGAAAACGTTGTTTTACCTCAGAGCAAAAAATGGCCACCAGGGGTCCGTTCTTCTTTATACCTCGATTAATACATCCGAGATGATTTGACGGATGCCAGATCTATGGGAAATTTGCGGATTTGCTTAAAACATCTGGATTAAGTTGTCTGAGATTACTGCGCGTTCTTGTGTTCATTGGAAAGGCCGGATATATATCGATACTCGAAACCATGTTTAGCGATTGGCTGGAGGCAAGACCGCAGTATAATGACATCATACACGTCCCGGACCCGAAAAAAAGTCTTTTTTTCTGGAGTCCAGATCTTAAATTCACTGAAAGTCTTTGCTGGAGGAGACTTTACACATTATTGACAATACAAAATCTTGACTGATGAAATAAATGTTGTGATGTTATTTAAGAGGTGCATCCATTTATGGTCAAGATCTTGTATTGACAATACAAGAGTCAATAATTTCTGGACCTTTATAAGGAAACAACCAAGCGACCAAAACGAGACAAAAGATATAATAAATAAATGAAATGCACTGTTTTTCACATGATTTCAAATTATTTCCATTATTTCACGATTTCTAGTATTTATACAGGCTTAATTCAATGTTGTAATTAGCAATTCACTTGACATGTGAAGCAGATTTTTGTTTCTAGACAAGTTTCTTACATTAAAGCATTTTTTTTTTTATCTGCATCGAGCCAATCCCATAATAGCGGTTCACATTAATGCACAGCTTAGACTAACAGTAACTGTGTACGACTCCAATAAAGTTATTAGGTAATTATTAGCTCACGATTAAATCTCTCAATGAGTAAAACTGGGTGTCTCTATGATAGACGACAACATTATAACATTATTTGCAAATGTGTTTTTAAATCATATATTATTGTTCCTGGTTCAATAGTGTCCTCTTGTAAGAAAGTATCAGTGGCTGGGACAGACTTTAACCATCACCTCCGCTCAAAAAGATGATATATGAAATAAGAAATAAGCTGCGATGGATTTTTTAACTAATCATAATAACTAACATTTATTTTTCTTGCAGAAACAACATTCATATGCTTGTGACTATGAGTGTGTGAGTGTAAAAATAACAAATAGGGGAAATGAAACAAAGACAGATGTCTAGGTCTGAAAACTTGTAATTAACAATGAAGTAATCAAGAAAACAGAGTCTGCTTCTACCTAGTAACAGAAGGGTTTGCCTATGAGGAACCAATCAAATTGTAGGGAAATTATGTAATGTATCATGTAATTTTCGTCATGCTCCTATTCTATAAAAACTGTTGTATTATTTTTTGCTGGTGGGATTCTCTCTGCAATTTGTCTGAGATCCTCCGGCCGTGATTAAAGCATATTCAAAGGCTTGTCTGAAGTATGTTTAGTTATTGCTGAGCAGCAAGTGAGGGTTAGAGTATAAATATTATTGAGCAGGGGCGTCGATTGTAGACGAGGGTCAGGTGCGAAAGAAGAAAGAAATCTCCCACAAAGCACTTTGAGTTTATGGACCTGTTGCTATGACAGCAACTCCGGGATGAGCTGCGAACAACCAAACAATCCTAGATCATGTCAAATCATCAACAGTAAAATCCAGAAACCCAAGTATTAGGAGCACACGTACGTCTGAAAGATGTCTGTTAGAGATCACTTCATCTGGATAGCATTATTAGCGTCTTTAAGATGACAGTTTTACCGTATTCTAAATCATAAACACCTTACAGACATTTTCTAAACGTCTATTTGACATCTGACAGGAAACGTCCTAGAGACGTGTTGGAGATGAGAAAATAAATAAAAATAAAATACGTCTTCCCGATGTAAAACAAATATACGTCTCCGATGTACGTGTGCTATCAGATGTTAAGCGGGGAACACTAAAGGTTTGGTTTTTGTTTCATTTTCGTATAAATGTAAGTTAGTAGCACTCCTGGCCACAAATAAAATTAAGAACAAAAAGGATGATGCGTTTTGACATTATGACAGGTGGCCTAATCAAAAGACGACGAGAAAGAAAGAAACAAAACTTAATTTGACATGCAGGGACGTTTTAAATGCATAACAGTTTCCTGACCAACAGCTTCTCTCATTTCACCACCTTGACAGGTGAACCCTGCTGTGTGTGCTGACTGTTTCTCACCTTTGGTTTTGTCCTCCTTAAAAGAGCGAGTCAACAGTTTGGCAATAGTCTCCTAAAAACAGAGGGATACATAGAAATCAATGCAACGCCGTGGCGTCATGAAAAACGCTCGTGACCTAAATGTGTTCGACTTGCTATCGTATTTTATGAGATGTATGTTAAAGACCCGAAGACGTAAATAGTTAAACGTGTTGTTGAAATATACCTTTTTAAAAGCGATTTCGTTTCCCGCGTTTGCCATTCTTTCCCGCTGTCGTCATAAAGGCTCGGGAACGTCACTGGCGGAATGAATCGGCTTCTTCTTCTTCGTTTGCTGGATGGTGAGACTTTATGAGGCTGTTGCCCTCTAGCGCACGAGCACAGGACCAAATCACACGTGGCCTTCAGACGTTTATGGATACATATTTGATGGGGAAAATTATAATTACCAGACATCTTAGGGCTCCTTGGTTTAAATATCAGCTTACTTAAAATCAAATGTTATCCAGCTCTGCTACATGGCCATGATTTAATTTTCAATTATCATTATAATTTTCCCCATCAAACATGTGTATATCCATAAACGTTTGAAGGCCACGTACATTATTTACACGATTAAGAAATGAAAAGCTACACACTCCATCAATTAGGGTTCGAAGAACTGTTGTCAACAAACTTTTTCACCCGTTTTTTTATTTTTTATTTTACTTGTATATGTTTAAAATGACACAGGTTATGGAAATGCTTTGCCTGTTTGTGTTTTGACAGGAATGTCATGAATGTTTAAGATATATTATTCAACGGAGGTACGAATAAAAAAAAAAGATTGTTGCATTATAAAATGGTCAGAATTTTACTTCTGTGACCTAGTTGCTACTTAATATGGAGTATTAGGCCTATAAAGTGTTTGAAGCAATTTATTTTCTTCTTCCTTATTTCTCTGCCCTAAAAGAAAATGCATGGGCGTCAGATACCATAATTGTAGAGACCCTAAAATTGTCAGGATGGTTTTGCACCAATGTTACTCAAGTTACTCAAGTGCACACACACATATCTGACACTAGGTGGCGCTAATATGACAATTTGCATTTGAAACAATACTCTCAAACCCTGTGGGCGATAGAAGCAACATCATTTTTCCTCAGAACAGGCTACCCATGTCATTTCCACCTATATATTTTTTTCTGCCATTCTGAACCTAGAAACACACGTAGGCCTGTGTCTTTGTTTTCGTTTTTTGGGGGAAACTTGCAGGAGCAAATACTTAATTTTTTGATTGAAAGACTGAGCTAAGATTAACATTCCCATTTCAAGTCATTTTAATCTTCACAAATTCAGAGGAAATTGCCACAAAAAAGACTTTCCACAGAAGCACTCATATATATAAAAATAATTATGACACTGTTCTAAATTAATGTAGTTCCCATTATTATCACATTCAAACTCGAATTAAAATCTCACTCCGTTGTAAAAGCTGAAAATAACCCTCAAGTCTATAAAATAGGTATATCTTTCTCAACAAAAAGACACCAGAACTGCTCTGAGGAAACATTTATTCAACATCTCAGGCATACATACAAAAAAGTGATAATTTTTCATAGACATTAAATCATAAATCAAACAGGATTTTGAATGTAATAATGAATGTATAAAATTAAACTCTTTACATTGAATTACAGCAACATTTAGTTCACATTTCTTCCAGTAAAAGTGCAAATCAGTCCCAGACGGTCGCGATCCTTATATTCCACGTCTAGTTCACACACAGGTCTGGCTGAAAGGATCGGTGTTGAGGAGTCTTTAACTGGCTGTCAAACCGGTTCTGGACAAACAAACATATAATTAAGTAACTTGATTCCTGGCGAGTCAATTTCACAAATAATTACAAAGAAACAGCAAGTAACGCATTGAACTAAATGAGAAATTTTAAAGTCTGAAATAGTATTTTCTTGTTTTATTTACAACTTTTGACTTTACAGGGGTCTCTAATACTTGAAAATAACAACAATCCTTCAGTTTTTTCTTTTCATCTCAATGGCAGTTGCCCGGCTGGTGCAGAAATATGTGCTATGAAATCTGCTCATGGCTTTTCAGAGATGTACAATTCTGCTGCCAGGTTGATTTGAGCCAATCACCTGAACATAAAATGCCATGTGACCAGGGGCGTGGCTAGCGTGGGGGGTTGGGTTGGTTGATTAACTGTGTAAAGAGGCACTGAAGGGCCCATAACAACCTCTCCTGAACGCCCCCGCAATTTCCACCAATTTTCTACCCCATACCATCATTTCTTCTGAGGGTTCCCAATGCAATAAACTGTAAAGGGGACCCAGTCAACGTTGTGATGCCACTTTATGCGACTACTGATTCATGACAACACTGATTGACTGATCGCACCACAAGAATAAACACAAAGAGTCCCGAACCCCTTACTTTTACAGCTCATATGACTGGCTCAAACAAAAAACCCTGTGCTCATGAGCAACGATGGCGGCCTGCGGGCAACTGCCATTGAGATGAATGGATGTTATTGGATTGGGAAGCTGGTGTCCCTACATGCTTAGCTAGCTTAATTGACCGTTCGCAAAGACCCGCCCCCCTTAGTTACTGTCGCTATGTCCGACAAGCTACGCTGCTCTCACACACACTCACGCAGTGAAAAATACATTGCGGACTGACAACACGCTGACAGACAGGACAGACCAGGTTACTTTTCGATTACTTTTGATATTAAACATATTAAACAAAGTCTCACCTTTCAAATTTGGTCATTTTAAAAAAAGAAATTTAAACAAATACCGTTTTGTGGCTCTTTAATGTGTCGTGACAGATCGCTGTAGAGCATCAGTTAAAGCTGCTCGTGATCCGATCATCTCTTCCTTCTAGTTCATTTATAGCATCAAATAAACATGAATGAACATAAGAAGGAATGTTGTTTTAACCGCAGAAAGGCATCAATACACTCCGTTTTTCAAGATCAAATCCTCCCATGTTAATCTACTAACTCTCCTGACTGCTTTGTCGGACAAAATGGCGGATGGCGAAGTATGGTTGGTCAGATCACCTGTCAATCAAACTCCCTGCGAAGGGTCAATTAGCAGCAGGCTTCCCTTTGTCAACCTGATTAATCAGAAACACCATTTTTGGCTGGTGACGGATATGGCTATGCTGGTCCACCTAACCAACATACAGTAAGCCGATCTGGACCAGAATGGTGGTCTAAGCAAGTAGTCTAGGCCTTCTTGCGACAAACAGTATTTTGACTCACTTTTGGCGTAATGATTTTGTTGATCCGAATCGGAAAACCTCCCAGTTTTGGTGGCTCATCCGCTTTGGCTGCTTCAGCTTCCTCTGAGGACGAATATCTCACAAAGCCCACACCCTTCGGCCATCCTGACGACTTGTCAATCCTGATCTGTTCATTGAGAAAGGTCTACAAATGAGTAGAGCTGCCAACACATTTAAACATTACACTAAAGATCATCAAAGATGTTAGAGAAGGGTGGCAAAGATAATGAAGAGAAGGGTGGCAAAGTATGCTACACACTCTAAAAAATGCTGGGTTAAAAACAACCCAATTTTGTGCCATTTTGGCAACCCAGCACTGGGTCAAAAACGGACAAGCATTACTGTAATGAAGCGCACAATGCAAGAGATTCTGTGAAATATACTGAATTTAATCATATTTAGGAGAACACAACCATAAAACAGAGATGATATCGGGCACAGAAAAAAGGAAACTCAGGGCTTAAAGTCCCCCTGTAGTGAAAATAAAGCTTTTAATGTTGTTTATTTGTCTATGTGGAGTTTTTAATATGCTTTAAGACAAATGATGTGTAAATTCATAAGTCGACAGCATTGCTGAGTATTTTCTCCTTAAAACTGCAGTGAACCAAAGACAGTCTCAAAAATACGGTTTGAAATCGCTGGTGTTTCTGACGTCACAAACTACCTTGTAACCAATCAGATCAACGTGTGATCGTCAACCAGTGGATCTCTGAGCTGAGTGAGTGAGTGGAGGCGGGGCTCATTTGCTTATTCACAGAACCGCACATACTAAATGAGGCAAGGGTGTCGAGTTACATTCAAGCTATTTTAAGGCATGAAGACATTTGATTAAAGGAAGAAGAAAAAAAACGTTTAAATGTGTCATTTTGGTGATCAAAGATGATTTTTCAGGGATAAAATGATTGACTAAATACAATGGGAGAGTAATCAAAAGTAAACAGAAACAGATGTGATGGACTAATTAACAATCAAGGAAAATAACTCCGAACTCAAGCAGGCAAAACAAGAACAGTGAATGAAACCAAAACTGAACATACATGTTACACTAGGTTGTTTTGACCCAGATGGATGGGTTGAATGTTTGACCCAACATACTGAGCTCAGCTAGGGTTTTTTTAAACTCAGCTATAAAACTCAGCTAGTTTGAACTATTTGCTGAAGAAAATGTCACGACCAAGACAATTAATTTGGTCTGTTTTTGCTAAAGCATCAACAACCAATCTACCGAATGAGACTAACACACAGGCAGACTCAGAAACCAGGGAGAGGCAGATCTAAATGCAGGGAGACTTTAAAGGGGTCATGAACTGGCTTTTTAATTTTTTTTTATATTGTTGTCTGAGGTCAACTTATGACGTTCGCTTGGTTTTTACATTCAAAAACATCAAAATGAATAAGTAATAGGCTATTTTCTACCCTAGTTTTGAGCCTAGCTCAAAAACGCTCGGTTTTTATGGGCGTCTGGCATTGAAGGCTTGGAAGTAAGCGCCCACTGCTGTGAGCAGATAACAGTTTTGCATATTATAATGAGTTTCGTGTAATGCGCGAATCGGTGGGCGGGGCTAAACCGGCCGTGTTGATCTTCTTCTGCGGGGGTGGTGTTTTATCCTCTTTGTCGTCACAGTTCCCCACTTTGGGGAACGATTTGCTGAGCCTGGTGTCAATAAAAGCTTTTATTGGACTTACAAGGACGTTTTCAGTTCTGAAACTTACAGGATATTCTTATAATATGATGACCTCTTAGATGTCAAAAGCTCAAGGACAATTTGATTTCTCAGTTCATCACCCCTTTAATGATATTAATGATGATGTTGTTAACTATTTTCTGTTAATGATGATGTTGTTAACAACACTGTTGTTAGCAGTGTTGCTAACTATTTTCATGCTCAGAAAGTCTCTAAATGTCGCTAGATTATGTAATACGCCACTTTTTGGACACACAGCTGGGAACAATGAAGACTAATCATCAACAAAAAATCTAAAAACATGGCAACTGAAATCAGGGACACACTACAACATGAAGTCTGAGGCACATATAATAGAGACAGAAGTTGTTTAGAGTATGTAGGGGTGTATGCATACATTTGGCCATGTAACACATCTGGCCTGTTAAAAGTGCCCGATTACTTACATCAGATTCTGTAATTGTCCCGAACTTTTGAAAGTAGGTGTGAAGATCACCTTTGGTCACGTGTGGATTCAGATCTGTAACAACAATCCCATGGTCCTATGAAGAAAGGTAGACAAGATGGTATCAATCAAATTGCATGGCCTACTTTCATCCATTTTCCAAATCACATATGTGTATGTAGCATTATTAAAGCATCTCAGGCAAAATCTTAAACTTACCCTCCAAAAAGACTGAAAGTCAATGACAGTTTAAGACGTTGTAAGCCATTGTTTATGGAATGGGATAATAATATACATTAACCCGAAAGGTATCATTGCTTTGGCTGTCCTAACATATCACACCTATAGCCTCCGACTGCAAAACAAATGTGATCGCGGTCCGTTTCTTTGTTTTATTTGTATAAGACAACTCTGAGGCTCTTTTGATCTGTCAATCATTTTGCACGTACAAGCTTTAGCAGTTTGTGTGTTTTGGATTATTCTGTTATGTTTTGTGGATTATTTATGCCTAGTTTACTACTGTTGAGTTAATTATATAATTAACAGACATTTTAATAGACATTTATGTGATATTATTGAGTGTCACGCTAAATTTGAATGTGGTAAATCTCCTCATAATGGTAAAAATGGCCCTCAAAATCTTATTTTTTTAAATAGTTGTTCAGCTTACCCATTCTTCAGATTTTGAAAATTCCTTATATTCTTCTGGAAGACGGATGCATACGCGTTTTTTGGATTCCATTATTAAACTCTATATCTACAGAATGAACACAATACAATGATTGGGGCAACATTTTTAAGCTTATTAACAGATGAACCATGCAATTATTTAAAATAAAAACAGCAGAATTAACCAATTAATAACAGATGCAGAAAATGTAAAAAGTAGTGGGAAAAGGCTAAATTACAAGAGGAAAATAAACTCACACTGCACATATACCCTCCTCAGATGCCTGAACGGCTTTCAAAGTAGCTTTCCAAAGTAGCTGTTTCCAAAGTTACTGTCCAAAGCTTTTATAAGGTGGATGTCAGAGATGTTTGAGAAACTCCTCCCACATAACTTCTTCTGAGCATGTGACAATTCTTCAGAATTTAGTCTTACAGGTTTAGACAAAACTTACCCTACTGCGTAGCTTTACTACATATTACCACAATCTATACATCACAATGTCCTCAAAGATAATGACCTTAGCAGTTTTTGTGAAAATGAAATATACTAACAAAAAAATTTGTCAGCTTTTATCACAGAATCGATTAAAAATAAATGAAAATAGCACAGCTATGTTTATAGGAAAGTTAATGCAAACAAAAATACTTCATCATGGAATGCCACATTTGACCAATCAGACACACGCATTTCAGAAAGTCATGTGATAAACAAGAATAGTAGAATAGTAGAAAAAAAAATCAGTAATTCACAAATAATTTTCATTTACAGATATGTTGCATTTATTGACTGACCTCCAAAATACAGCCGATAGATAAACCAATATACCAAGTAAATCTCAATATACCAAAATCTATTTAAAATACATTTATTTCATACTAAATATACTTCAAATCACAAATATCACTTAAGACCAAAAGTACAATTGCAGGGTATTTAAATTAGGCACATAAATATGTTAGTGTATCTGTAGTATACTTCAGACACTTATTATTTTTCAAATACATTTTAGTGTATTGTTTTTCACTATAGGGTATTCATAGCCTGTTTCTCTGAAACAGTTCTCCAAATTATTAAAAAAATTATCATTACATTCTCAACCACACACAAAATAGATATATATATAACTGACAAAAACATTTCCATAAGCAAAAAGGAACCTTGTGCATTTCAAAATATTTGTATATGATTATATGACAGTGGCACTATTAAATATCAGTATCATTTGCTAACTCCAAAATGCAGTGGTAATCTGAGTTCCGTCTTCTAGATAAGCTGCACCAGTTTTTCAGGTTTTATGTTTTTGTCGATGGGGGGGGGGACTGGGTTGCGGTATGGGGTTACCACAATGTATTCTTCCAAATTCGTTTTCTGTAGAATCCAGCTTTCATGGGTAATACAAGTAATCAGCAGGTGACAAGGTGATTGAAACACCTGTTCACAAGGAAATCAACCGCAAGAGAAGTTGTGGAATTTGTCATCTGTCAAACATCCTGAATGCATACACAGCAAAATCTCCAGAGTTAAATAAACTCTGCTCAGAGAACATTTGTTCCCTCTCTACAGAGAGATAAAAAAACTCTGAATCAGAGTTAAAGTTAATTAAATACTTAAGTGATTAATTAAGTGATGATTGTTCATTAATGATGAACGCCTGCTGTCAACAAGCAGAATAAGAAAAAATCTGATTTAAAGGAAGCACTGAAAGCTCACCTCTCTGCTGAGCAATCGCCTCATTGAGGGCCTGTAGTTTAGCTATGAGGAACTTCTTATCTTCACCCTCCTAAGAAGACAGAAGAGATGTTAACAAGAAATCATTAGGCTGTTACAACCCTAACCCCTGTTTAGTTATTTGAGCCCAAACCACTAACCGCAAGTTTTAAAAGATCCCATACCGTTTGTATTAGAAACCTCATGCGATTTGTAGAGGAGAGTGGTGTGTGTGCTACAACTTTTCTAAATAATCAAACTACATTTTTTTTTTTTAAAGAATCAACAATCACATAGCAACATCCTGACAACATCTCAGAATCAAGGAAAGCACCACTCACAATTTTCTGTATAAAAGTTGAAATGCTATTCTTGTTGAATCCACCCTCATTGCTAAATTATGCAAATTCATTTTCTGGTTAAGACAATGTTTTCCCTCCAGAAGTATACAAAGTAAGCTGTTTTTGAAGTGTACCGCCTTGTGAAAAAGAAGTGCACTTAATTCTACTGAACCAATTCATAGTGCACTATCTAGTCCATTTGTAGTGTACTTCAAAGTATATTTAAAAACTGTACTTGCAGATAATAATGAAATAAAATGCCACTTGTACTTTAAGAGAATCACTTTCATGAATGTTTCTTAATACACTCAAGTAAACTTCTAAAAAGTGCACTTTGTAATAGTGCGTCATTTAGGACACAGCTCTTGATTATGATTTTAACTGTCATGTTATTCAATATTACATTTAAATTCATTATATTTTAAATATACGAAGTGCCCAAAAACATTATATTTAGTTCACACTTAAGTATATTATTTCCGTAATAAGTACTTTTAAGTATGCTAAAATGTACTTTTCCACAAGGGTCATAATACTCACATGGTCTATCTGTTTTTGTAACCTTCCAATGTTTAACTTTTGGCCATCCAAAACTTGCATGTGAATGTATATAATGGTTCTGGAAAGAGATGGAGATGGCAGGTAAAAAAAAAAAGACCCAAATCTGATCTATACTTCACCCAGGAGTCCCATAAGCAAGGAAAACTCACAGGAACAGGCCTGCAAAAATGAAGAGGAACAAAGGGTTGTCCACCAAGTGAATATACGCCCTGCCGAGCCAGTACAAACTGGAATCCGAGTTCCCCAGCCCGATGAACCACTGCTTGCCTAAGAGGAGCATGTTGTGGAAGCTCCTGAAGGGCCCACAATGTGAGGAGGGCTTGATCCTAAAACAGAAGAAGCAAGCAAAACACACTGGCACTCTAATGTCTCTTTATTATTGAAATAATTTGTTTTGTGTTCAGGACATTTGGTATGAATTATGCAAGAGAGTGTGTGCTGCTGACAAAATCCACTGAAACATTATTCTGAATTTTTTGAGTGAAATACCCCTTTAAAATCATAAAATGGGCTTATATTTTACCAACGTGGGTGTGTATTAATGCTTCTTTTAATTCTTGTTTCTAAATTAAATGAGTTTTTGCTCATTTAATTTAGACAAGCAAAATTATCTGCCAATTTATAAACAAGCAAAATTATCTGCCAATTTATTGAAAATAGTTTTTTTTTTTTGCAGTGAAGAGTGAATAATATTCTGAAGAGACAAACCTCCACATTGTATATATGACACACATAAGGGCCCCAATGAAGGAGGGTAAAAACAGGAGGCTGACGAAGAGAGTGCTCATCTGAGTGGCCCTCCAGTGTTTCCTGGGTGCTTGGAAGTTCTTCATCAAACTTGTCTATAAAGGGGGTGACACATATGCCCTTAATTGACAGAAGATATCCTAATAATATCAATAAAACATATCTAATAAATGATTACACAAGTTCTTTTCTACATTGCAGGAAAGGGAATAGTTTAACCAAAATATTCACTTCTGACATCCTGCCATTAGAACCCTGTATTGTTCCCCCCTTATTTTCTTTCTTCAATGAAACACAAAATTAAATGCTTATCAGAATGTCTGAGCTACCCTTTTCCATATTTCGAAATTGGATGTTTTTTTTTTTACAAAAAGGTATAACAGCTTGTCACGGGGGCAGTGCCCTTAAAGGGACAACTTTGTACCTTATCAAACTCTAAATATTAGTATATTAGTGTCATGATCCCGGCCTGTGTTTGCTGTCCCTTGTTTGTCGCCATAGTTACCCAAGTAAGTTTCCATAGTAATTAATCACTTACACCTGTTCCTCATCAGCCCCTCCTTACCTTGAGTGTATTTAAACCCCAGTGTTTCTAATATTCCTTGTCTGGTGATGCCCTAACTTGGATGTATCGTGTGTGTTTGTTTTAGTTCTGGTTGTTCCAGTTTATGGATCATCTTGTTCTTTGACTGGACTCGTGATTTCCCCCTGGATTTCCCTCTGTTATTTTGGGAAATAAACCCTTGAATTGTATCTGAATCCAACATGCCATTTTCTAAAACAGCCAGGTTACATTTTGTACCTTGATATGTACCCTTAAGGTCCTTTCACACTGGACGCGTTTTTGACCTACGAATAAATCGCGCGATAGTTTTATTTTTTGATCAGCTGTTTGTGTAATGAGTGCTTCCACACCGAACGCGAATGTGCTGCGGCGAAAAAACGACTTTTATTTTTTTCGCTTCGATGTCGTTTTTTTTTTTTACTTTTGTGGCGACAGAAAAGGCTTCAGCCAATCACATACAAGGAAACAAAGGTGAAGCTTGTTGACGCTTTGGCTGCTCTGACGTAGCAGCATTATGTGCGAGAGAAGAGAAGTGTCACAACATGAAATGTAAACTAAAAACAAGCAATAGGCTACATTGAAACTAGAAACCTTTTATAATGACAGCATTTTTATATTGCCTATTCCACATCTCAACGCACGCATACCCTATCATTTATGACATGACGGTGTTTCTTACCAGCAAAAGAATGAGGCATGGGATAAAATAGCTGGGATAGTTGGTGTCTCCGGCGAGTTGATGAAGTGCGTGCTGATGATTTATAATATTTTTGACTAGGAGGGAAATAATTGATTTAGAATATTTTCAACATTCATGGTTGTGTGTTTCATATTATTTTTGCATGCATGTATAGGCCACCCACCAGAGCATGTGCGTAAAGAGGAGCGGGGTGACGCTTAAATAGGCCTATAAGTTAAAAAACTCAAACAAAACCTACGTTTCATATATAGGCCTACATTTAAATAATATAATGCTATTTTTTTTTATTTCATCTATGTTGATTAGCTATATGAAAAGGGAACCGCATGAGATGAGTAAGGATCATAAGATGGCCGAATATCGAAAACATTTGGAATGGGTCAGACATAATTTTGGCTACTTATTAAGTTTTGTTTTGTAGAAAGCCTTTCTTTAAAATGAATTTCGTTTTGTATAAATTGTATCTTAATTTTAATCAAGGTTTCATCACCAAATTGCCTGGATTAATAGGAATAAGAAGCAAATATAGTAGACAATATAATGAGGACACGGAGGCGCCGGCGCATGAACTGGAGCGCGTCTCATTCCGAAAACTGACAGAAAACACTAGTTTATTAATAAACAATTCAAATGTTTAATGCATAATCCTTACTTTGGCCGGTTCTTTGTGGCAAAATTTTAGCTACTTTATAAGATTAGCATACTCCCCTTCAGACTCTCTGTTCTTTAAGATGGGTGCACACAAAACCTTATTTTCTGTCTTTTAAAGAAAACGAAAAGCTCGTCTTCACTGGATGATGATGAAGATGATGATGATGAAGAAGTGTCCGTGTTTTCTCAGCTGTCGGCGCGAAAGTTTTGGAATGTTGAAGCTCTGAACATCGCAAATTCGCGTCGCGACCGATGTGAATGGTTTTGACGCGAACTATTCGCACGCGAACTATTCGCTTTTGCGTTTCGCCTTTTTGTTACGCGTCCGGTGTGAAAGGGCCTTAAGGCACCCAATGAACCGATATCACAATAGGACCCTAGTTGATTGATTACATTAATAATTGCAACAAAAAAAATCTTTGTCAGTGTAAAAAACGTCTGAATATTGATAGGAATAAAACTGTAAAGTCTGGTGTATGTAAGTGCTGCTGAAGTGGAGATTTGTAGGAAGGAGACTCGCCTGCTATCTCTCCCCTTGAACCTTACCCTCCAAGCCCTGTAAGATTACATCTGGCATTGTGGGTAATGTCTATTAAGCTGCGGGTCAGGCTGGTGTGTCTCTACACACAATGGTTGTCCTGCAGTCATATTAGGCTGACCTGCAAAAAGATCTGGACACTGGCGAGGGGATAGATCCCGAAACGGTTATGGAAGTCTGGGACAGCCCATGCAATCGCCCGTTCAATAGCTGCAATGGTCCCCACGGAGGGGCATCTGTGGTTGAACCTTTCGGGCACTCGAGAAAGAGAACGTTTTCTTGCTGGATGGCCTGATTTCAGCATCTGGCCTTTTCAGCAACAAAGGCAATGCTGTCGTCGATAGGTTCTAAGCGGCCAAAAAAGTTTCTCCCTCAAGGGGTGCAGGAGCAAAACACCAGGGTGGATACCCTGTCCCAGTGATGTTACATATGACACTGAAGCTTCAAAGCGTGGTATCGAGTACGCAGCGCAATTTCTCATGAAGCTCCATGCCGGAGCGCATATTGTTTTTAGAGAAACACGCGATCAACGAAAAACGAAGCCTCACTTTCTTTCCAGTCAAGTGAATGATTCGCGTGTCGGAATGTTTGAACCCAGACCACTACTCTACAGGTTTTTGGTAGTTTAAGTCCATTTACCAACATTTTTTAAAAATAAATTATTAAAAAAAAGGTATTCCAGCCTTCGGATGAGATGTTAAACCGAGGTCCTGACTCTCTGTGGTCATTAAAAAACCTATTCTCGTAAAGAGTAGGGGTGTAACGCCGGTGTCCTGGCCACATTCCACCCATTGGCCCTTGCCAATCATGGCCTCCTAATAATCCCTTACATTGAATTGGCTCTATCACTCTTTCTTCTCTCCACCTATAGCTGGTTTGTGTGTGTGTGTGTGTGTGTGTGTGTGTGTGTGTGTGTGTGTGTGTGTGTGTGGGGCGAGCGCACTGACGCTGTTGTTCTGTGGCTGCCGTCACATCATCCCAGTGGATGCTGTACACTGGTGGTGGTTGAGGAGAGATCCCCTGACATGATTGTAAAGCGCTTCGGGTGTACAGTAGTACATATGAAAGCACTATATCTATCATTAATTTATTAATTCATTCATTCATTCATTCAAGCAAGCCTATAAGTTACATGATCATATATTCTGCCATATAACCAGCATAGAAACCATAAAAGCATTTACTTGCATCAAGCAACTCTGTTGGTATTTTTATAGTTAGTATTAATATAATTGTAACATTTAATGTATTGCCATACTTTAATATGTGAATTATATTATCAGAAAACTGAATATTTTGCATTGTCAGGCTTTTATTTGTGCTTAATAGATAAAACAACGGCGCTGCGCACTCTGGTTTATGGCTGCTATAAATTTGACCTGACTAGGCTCTTCTCATTTTTCTACTTTCAATATTAACTATTAATATTAATATTATAAAATAACGACTGAACGAATGATTACACGGATTCATTTCATCTCTTGTGTTTCAACATGAGGATAAGTAAATTGTTACCGAATTGCATTTGGGGAGGGGGGGGGGGGGGGGACTACAACTCAATGAAATGTCATCCAAATGAAGCCTAAAAAATACTAAGAAGATATTGACCTTTTTGAAGTAGAACAAGAGTAACAGTTTCCCAATTTGTACTGCAGGCAACAGGGGTGAAAACAGCACACCAAACCTAGAGAAAGAGAGCACAGAGAAGACTGTTAGTGTCATGCCATCAGGACAAAATGTAATGTTTCTTCATGAGAAGGTGACCGTACCACACAAGCGTTTGACCATAGATGAGCTCCAGAACATCTCGTGCAATGTCAAACTCCAGTTTCCTGCTTCTCAACGAGAAGTTTCTAATACACAGCCTGAAGGGGCAGAAAGAGTCAATAAACCCGGCTAAACATCACGGCCATTATATGGGATCATCACATTATATGGGAACTTACCCCCACAGAAACTCTGCAAAGATGATGTGCAGAACTGCAACTATTAGATCCATTAAAACCAAACGATAAAGCTCTTGACCAACAAATGTCTCCCAGCACAGCAAGTCCTGTACACATATGAAAACAATCCTGCTTTATTTCATATTCAACTAATAAGCACATATATCTAAAATAAGTTTTTTCTAAGTTTTTTTTTTATTAGTTTTTTATTTATTTTTATTTCTAAATTATCATTCATTCTCATAAACCCTACAAAACAAATTTACTGTGAGGATTGGCTACTTGATCAATATTGCTTTGAATGGTTTCGTCGAAATAACAACATTACTGGATTTTTAAAAGAGGTCTTCAGGTTTCATGATTTTGGTCACCTTTCCGGCTTTATTCCTTTCATCGATTTGGAGCCAATAGTGACACAGCACAATAAAAATGCAACCCTTCAACAACAGGTTCCTGTGAAAGAAGAAACCGAAAGGTTGTTAATGAACACTCAGATATTTGACTAATAATAACAACCTTGAACTTTTGTGAACTGAACAAATATGTTATTTGACATCAGTTTAGTTATAAACATATTTAAATGACAAATAAGCAGGTCCAAAATAATGAATAATTTACCGAAATCTAGTTTCAAATGCACTCAAAAAAATGATATGTTGGCTTTACTTAACTTTTTTATGTAAACAGGTTCCACAGGTTCCACATAACTATGTTTCGTTAAACAAACATAATGTAACTTCAACATCATGGAATTTGGTCATTTTAAGCGACCCAATTAAACTCTGAGCTAAAGAGTTAATTAAGTGAATAATTGAGTGATGATTGAGCATTATTGAAGACACCTGATGTTAACAAGCAGAATCTCTGAAGGAGAAAACCGGAATGTTTAAGTCACCATTATGGAGATAAGTGTGTGTTTTAGTTGGGCTCTTGACCATTAACTTATTAACTTTAGATTTTGTTTGGTTGCTGTACATGAGTTATAACAGCCGGATGAACAATGAACTAAGGAGATCTGATGGTGTTGGTTGTGATTTAACATAATCATTATTTCACAATCATTTGACCTGAGTCACTGAACTTATATTGAACCCAATTTCTGAGTTAAGTTTACCTTACTGTCATTGTAGAGCATACTATTTTTAGCCTTTTCATTGAAATTCAAGTGATCAAATCAAGAAATAAAAAATAAACTTCTTAAAAAATATCTTGAGTAGGCATACACAGACATCAAGAATCAGCATATGAATCTCAGCAATGGTGACAAACAGATCATAAGCTCATTATTTATTCATGCAGCAATGCATGATGGGAGCCATGAATGAGTTTTGATTGGTGGCACCCAGAATGCACTGCAACATGCTTTATAATTGTCACCATTGTTGAGATTCACAGGCTGATTCTTGATGTCTGTGTGTGCCTATTCAAAACATTTTTTAGAAAGTTTCTTTTTTATTTATTGATTTGATCATTTGAATTGCATTGAAAAGTCTAAAAATAGTATGCTCTACAATGACAGTGCTGCTATTATCCGTAAGGTAAACTTAACTCAGAAATTCGGTTTAATATAAGTTCAGTGACTCAGGTCAAATGATTGTGAAATAATGATTATGTTAAAACACAATCAACACCATCAGATGACCTTTGTTTATTGTTCATCCGGCTGTTATAACTCATGTACAGTAACCAAACAAAATCTAAAGTTAATAAGTTAATGGTCAAGAGCCCAACTAAAACACACACTTATCTCCATAATGGTGACTTAAACATTCCGGTTTTCTCCTTCAGAGATTCTGCTTGTTAACATCAGGTGTCTTCAATAATGCTCAATTATCACTCAGTTATTCACTTAATTAACTCATCAGCTCAGTTTAATTGGGTCGCTAAAATGACCGAATTCCATGATGTTGAAGTTACATGAACATATTATGTTTGTTTAACGAAACATAGTTATGTGGAACCGGTGGAACCTGTTTACATAAAAAAGTTAAGTAAAGCCAACATATTTTTTTTAACGTGCAAGAATCTCTGTATTCATGCATTTAAATGATAAAGTATTACATATTTTAGCAACATAGTAAGGAAACAAGTATTTCTTACACATGAATAGGGCCTATCATTAAGTTTGGCGTAATGCTCAAATCCACATAAGACGATCATAAAATAGCATACGATTTATTACAAACTCAGCATGTCAAGCCAACATGCGAGACGAACAACCACCAAAACAGAATTAAGTACAGATACAAACAAGGTAATTAATCACACACAGCTGAACCAAACAAACTCATAACGGCGGTGACCATGGTAACATTCGGATGAGCAGGAAAACGAACAAAGGAAACCAGGAACTAAGGAAATACAAACTAAAAGTTCACGAACTACAACAAACATAAGCACATTTTTGACACAACTGCTTATGTGGAAAATGCAGATTCAATTTTATATAGTAAATGATCTTAATGGTTTGGTAGAATGACTTTCTCGCTTATTAAACAGACAAATAGGCCAATGTGTCTAAAAGGTTTGGAGTACTTTTCAAGATAAGAGTCATGCAAGACTGCATTAAAATGTCACTAGAGTGAGCAGCAAATATAAAGAGATTTAAAGGCAATCAATGAAGCATGCTAAAGTTGCTTCCTGCTGCACTGAATGGAACATGCTCATAGCTCACAGACAGGAAGTGAATAAATAGTTAGTGAAAGAATGATAAGCAAATAAGTAAATGATTCCCCGACCTTACAATGGACACGTAAATGCGAACACTTGGGGAGTTGTAATCTTCCCCCCTGGATAAGCTGTCGAAGAAACCAGGCAGTAGATGACTGAGGCACGACACCACCAAAGGCAGGGTCAGCAAACGGACTGGGTCATTTTCCTGAACAGGCTTGATAAAGACATGCACACGCAATATGTCAGATAAAGTATTCAAAAACAATATGCCAGATAATATATCAAGCCCATTCTAAAGAAATGCCATTTCAGACTGAACATTTTAGTTTTAAATGTCACAGCATAACGGGGTTTAGGAAAGAATTCAGAAATTCATTTAGCATTTTAGAGGAAACATCTGTGAGCATTTCAATGACATTAAAGTTTTCTAAATAACCCATAACAATGTAACTTGGTGAATGGGGACAATTCTGCACATTTACATTTTACAATTTAAAGAGTTTTATTTTATGACTTATTTTGCATTGCACACTGAACAGAGAACTTGATCAATTGCAGTATCATAGAAATGGGATTTTTTCTTGAGAATGAGCACAGAATTTGTGTCAAATTTGTGTCAAAAAACACCCTAAAAAGAAGTTGCGTATCAGTAAGGCGTGGAGTCCAGATGATATCTGAAGAAAACAGTTACCCAGAGAATACAGTTGAAGGGCCCGTAAAGCTGTTTGCAATGTAATGAAGCAGCAAAAATAACTGGTGTGTGAACTGAACAGGATGTGACTGGTCTTTTCCGCCATTATTTGTGTGATTTAATAAGCGTTAAGTTTCCTGTTGCCTTCCTGTTGTCTATTCAAAACTATGACCAGACCCTTACCAATAGTCCGCCCTGCTCAATGTAAGGAGGGAGGTAGTAAACAGCCAGCATGCAGGCACCAATGCAAAGTAGGCAAACGGACCACACTATTAAGTGTACACTCAACCAGCCCAACGTTGAACACAAGTTCCTCTTCTGTTTTCTGCAGCCGAGCTCTGACAGCATTTCCTAAAACACAAACATTCAGCAGAGTGACTCAAATATATGGTAAGAGTCAACAAATTAGTATGCATTGTTAAAGCTGAAGTGGGTAAATTATGCACCACTAGTGTCTCCAAACAGAATTGTCCCTGTCTTCCATTGTTTGGACAAACATGTTGTCCTGCTTCAGACTTTCCAGCAGTGGTTTTGCTGATGATGCCAAGTCAATTGTTTAAAAAAACAGTGTTGATTGTGCTACAGTGTTTAAACTTTTGGTAACGCTTCCTTTTACAGTCCTGTTACTCATGTACTTACTATGTACTTATTATAGTAACTATAATTACTGGGTAACAACTAGGTACTAACCCTGAACCTACCCCTAAACCTACCCCTAACCCATGTTCTTACCTTATTAGCCAGTACTTTCTAGGTAAGTACACTGTAAGTACACGTAAGTACTGTACTGTAAAAGGAAGCGTTACCAAACTTTTCACAAAGTCTTGTGCAATGGGCTTGGGGGAAGTATTTTACATTAAACAAATGACAATAGCACTTTATACTGGTCCGTCATTAATGAATAACTACACCGGAACTAATTAGTAACACAATATTAACATTCCAGTAACTACTGATTACTAACAAGAAATCCCGATTAACGAATAAATAAGAAATAACACTCTACTGAATGCATAGTTCACTATAGCTAATCAAAAACTAAAAAAAATTATAGGAAACCAAAACCACACTAAAACCAGCATAAGGTTGTTGGTGGTTTTTGGAACATCTGAAGTAGTTTCTGGGTGGTTAAAGTGGTTGACCAGCCAGTGGGCGTCTGGCTTGAGAAGGGTTTAGCTGCAGGCTGGAGATCTCAAAGCTTTAAATGGGGGCAGGATCTACAAACTGAGACATAGGGAGACCTTAAAGCTAACCCTAAAAGCTTGGGTACACTTCATTCTCCACATTTCCCTCCGTATAGTGCACTGTGAAGAGCACAAATCATTCAAGGTACACTCCATTGAAAACCTCATTGGTTCTTGAGGCTCAAACGTGCTGTGTAACGTGAGAGTAATCCTCATTGGTTCTCACAAGTCAAGTGAACATGCTTGTGCTTACGTTTATCATATCTGATTTGTGTGATGACGAATGTTTATGTGTGAATAAAAGTCTCAATCAAATCTGTTCATCATATAAAGCAATCGAGTCTCTTCAGAAATTAATGTAGACTAAACTACTCGATTCATATGGATTCATTTTACAATTTCCTTTTGAACTTTTTGAAGAGTCAAATTTGTAGTTGCGTGGACTGTCAATGGAGGGACAGAAATATTTCAGATTTAATTAAAAATATATTGGTCTGTGTTCCGGAGATAAAAAAAAAACGTTTTACGGGTTGGAACGACATGAGGATGACATAATTTTTATTTTTGGGTGAATGACTCTTTAAGGGTACATATTAACTATTCTAAGGAACTAATATGCATATTCTATACAGCAAAATCCCCAGATTTAAATTAACTCTGCTCAGAGAACATTTGGTACCTCTCTACAGAAAGTGAAAATAACTCTGAATCAGAGTTAAAGTGAATGAGATACTTAAGTGATTAAATAAATGATGATTTGGCATTAGTAATGAACACCTGCTGTCAACAAGCAGAAACACTGAAGGAAAGAGAAACAACAAGAACAGAAAAAAGAGAAACACAAGAACTATAACTGACTTCCAGCCACAGCCTTAGATGAAATCAACTAAAGACAAAAGACATTGAATCTCTCAAGATCTCAGCAGAGGAGGATTAAACAACTACTCAAACAGCATTATCAGTTTCACTTATTACTAACCAGACTGACTTTATTTCTGTCATACGTCTACAGAAGTTCTTATTGAGAATTAACAGAGGTTTAGATGTTGACGATTTATTGAAAATGCTTGGTCACCATTATGGTGACCAGTGTTTCCTTTAGTTGGGCAGTTCGTGAGTTAGTGGTTTTTGTAACAGGTTTTACATATAACATATGGTACATATTAACTATTATAAGGAACTAATAAGCATCTTCTAGGGGTAGATAAGGTAAAAAGTTTTGCCTTCAAGAGTACTTCCCCAGTGATAAGCTGTTGTACCCCTAAAGGTATGATTTTGCACATTTATTGTTTTCTGAGAGTGCAGAATAGAACATTTTATCTGACTTTGTTGTTCATACATGTCTTCAAATATCCCAACATGTGTGTGACATACTGAAATTTAATTATTAGTGCTGTGGAGGATAAAGTAGATTTAACATGAATTAAGCCATATTTCCACAAACCTTCAGCTGAGTGCAGATGTTCACCGCTTGCAGTTTAACAGACCTTTTCCTGCAGACTTTAAAATCCCAAGAGCAGAAAACCTTTAAAGATAGGTTACCAGTAGTCTTGAATGTGCAGAAACTTTTTTCGAATGATTTAGACATCCTGAAAGGAAAAAGAAAATCTGGTTTAATCAAGCTAATGGTGTGAAAATTAATTAAAACAATGAGTACGGAAAATAGGCAAACCTGTAAACAAGCATTACACATGTAACAAACATGCCTGTTCCAATAGTAAAAATATATGCCAGGGGTATGTTGTAATTGTGAGGACACATTTTAGTTTGAGCTTGGCAATTTCCAATTGTGGAGTTGGTATAGTGGCCATAGAACATCACAGAGTCTGTGAGAATACCCTGTTGAGGAACAAAAAACAATAGCATTCGGTAAGTAATATAAAGCAGGGCATTTACTTAAATTCACAGGGAATGGGAAAGATGTCCTTTTCCCTTAGCCAATGAATCACCTATACCAAAAAGAATCCACAAAAAACAATGACCCTAATATAAAGGACTTGCTTTTTAAAATATATATCCTTACCGTGCCAGTAAGCATCCAGAAGTCAGTGGGTTTATCTTCTGAAGGTTGAGGTGGATTTGAGATTTGTGGCAGGAGCAGGAAAAGGCCGTTGATGAGGAAGAAGAGGATGTTGTAGAGTAACAATCTTCTGAGGAAGATGAAATAGGACAGGATCCCGGTGCCAAAGCGAGCACTGATGTTTTTAAGCACTTTCTGCCAGAGCTGAAGGGATTTCTGCAGTGACAGTCTACCTAACCAGCAACCAGACAAAACCTATCAAAAAGAAGTGCAGGCGGGTTTTCAATATCAACCTGCAGAAATCTAAATTTAAAATGTTTAAAAATGTCATTTTCAACAGTGATTTATATACAAATTTGTGTCCCCCTTACATCGTTAAAGCATTGAAGATATAAAACCAGTCTTCTTGAGAGACAACTGAAGAGTGACTTTGCCTTGTTGTTAAAATCTATTGATTTGATATTAAATTAATTCGGGTTTTTTTACAAATTATATATATATATATATATATACACTCACCGGCCACTTTATTAGGTACCCCATGCTAGTAACGGGTTGGACCCCCTTTTGCCTTCAGAACTGCCTCAATTCTTCGTGGCATAGATTCAACAAGGTGCTGGAAGCATTCCTCAGGGAGTTTGGTCCATATTGACATGATGGCATCACACAGTTGCCGCAGATTTGTCGGCTGCACATCCATGATGCGAATCTCCCGTTCCACCACATCCCAAAGATGCTCTATTGGGTTGAGATCTGGTGACTGTGGAGGCCATTTTAGTACAGTGAACTCATTGTCATGTTCAAGAAACCAATTTGAAATGATTAGAGCTTTGTGACATGGTGGAAGTAGCCATCAGAGGATGGGTACATGGTGGCCATAAAGGGATGGACATGGTCAGAAACAATGCTCAGGTAGGCCGTGGCATTTAAACGATGCCCAATTGGCACTAAGGGGCCTAAAGTGTGCCAGGAAAACATCCCCCACACCATTACACCACCACCACCAGCCTGCACAGTGGTAACAAGGCATGATGGTTCCATGTTCTCATTCTGTTTACGCCAAATTCTGACTCTAACATCTGAATCTCTCAACAGAAATCGAGACTCATCAGACCAGGCAACATTTTTCCAGTCTTCAACTGTCCAATTTTGGTGAGCTCTTGCAAATTGTAGCCTCTTTTTCCTATTTGTAGTGGAGATGAGTGGTACCCGGTGGGGTCTTCTGCTGTTGTAGCCCATCCGCCTCAAGGTTGTGCGTGTTGTGGCTTCACAAATGCTTTGCTGCATACCTCGGTTGTAACGAGTGGTTATTTCAGTCACTGTTGCCCTTCTATCAGCTCGAACCAGTCTGGCCATTCTCCTCTGACCTCTGGCATCAACAAGGCATTTCCGCCCACAGAACTGCCGCTCACTGGATGTTTTTTCTTTTTCGGACCATTCTCTGTAAAGCCTAGAGATGGTTGTGCGTGAAAATCCCAGTAGATTAGCAGTTTCTGAAATACTCAGACCAGCCCTTCTGGCACCAACAATCATGCCACGTTCAAAGTCACTCAAATCACCTTTCTTCCCCATACTGATGCTCGGTTTGAACTGCAGGAGATTGTCTTGACCATGTCTACATGCCTAAATGCACTGAGTTGCCGCCATGTGATTGGCTGCTTAGAAATTAAGTGTTAACGAGCAGTTGGACAGGTGTACCTAATAAAGTGGCCGGTGAGTGTATATATATATATATATATATATTTTACCAACCATCATTTGTCTTTGTCTTTAGTATATCCTTTCAGTTTAGTTTCTAGTTAGTTAGTTTCCTTAGGGTATTTTACATGACAACACTGTACTAAAAACAGAAACGTTTTTCCTTTGCGTTTTTCACGTACATACGCCAAAGTCGTCAAAACGATCCCCGTTCACACTGATCCGTGGAAACGACTAAAACACTGTATTATTCGTGCCAGGCCAGTAGTTGGTGATGTCACTTTGTATAGAAACACTACGCGCCTGTAGACTGAACACGTAATACGCATGTGCATGCAGGGCCGTAGCTAGAGGATTCGGGGCCCCATGAAAAAATATCGATGTGGGCCCCCACCACCCTCCACCAATATCATATACTGTACAATAGATGAACATGGAGGCCCACATAACAGAAGATGGTGATGTTGTTGTAAAACCTTTATTTTAAAAGTTAAATGTTTATTTAAAAATTACAACTAATAAAAACTAACAAAAAGCAAGAAATTGTTAAATAATAATAAAACCAATTTTTAAAAAGTAATACTTTTTTTCCCCATCAGTCTGTTATAATTCATAAATCAAAAAGTAAACATTTAGAAATTGACAGGAATGCAGTCTAATTAAAAAAATAAAACCATTCATTGTCTTATTAAATAAAGCGAATACATTTATTCATCCAAGTGCGGTGTGTTGTATTCGTGTTTTCTCGATGTTTTAAATATCATCAGCCGGCAGGTCAGATGCATAATGCAATGCGTCGTGACTCGTGTAATTTTTTTAAAACTCTATTTACAATAGTGTAAAAAGAAAGGAATTTAGACCACGTAATCATTAGGTCGATTGCGGCGCGCACCGATAATAAAAAATGACTGTACACGGCAGACTGTAGACGGAAGTTTTCTAATTCCCAGCGAAATAACAATATATAACCGGTCTTTAAGAACGTCTTGATCGACTGGGATACAACCACTCTCCTTGCCTCCCTCTCCGTCTTTTCCTGGCATTTCTGGTACCTGATTTATGTTTTCTTTCCCCGACATTTTTCAGTCAGTCAGTCTCCTGCTCTTCCACCAAGTTCATCGTTAACTTCAGGCTGCCGCCTCAACTCTGACTGGTTCTGTTCACGAGCTGGGGCGGGACTTACAATTTTATTGGGTCCATCTGATGTTTGTCACTGACTCTGACTGAATAATTAATAAATACTTTAGGTCGGACTAAACCATTTTTATGGAGGTAAGAGAAGCAGATATTTGGAAAAATATTTACCCAAATTGCACGTTTTTGTGGTTTTCATTTAAATCTCAGGCATACAACTAATATAAATATTAGAATTATTCATACAACAGGGGCCTAAATAGTATAACTGCTGGATTTTGTGGGGCCCCCTGGGCAGCGGGGGCCCCTATAATTGTCACCACCTTTCACCCCACTAGCGACGGCCCTGTGTGCATGGCATCACGGTTTTCACAAATGCAAGTTCTTGTAGTTCACAGAGAGATAATAACGGTATCGGTCCGAATGCAAAGTGTTTCCATGCCTCCGTGTACACGCATCACACGTCATCAGCAAGTTTCAAATCAAGTTCATTTAAACACTGTTCATGGAAATTACCAAATGAAATAAATATAAATAAATATGTATTAATGTTAATCTGATAGTCACTGTGCAAAAAGTCACCTTCAGGAAACAAGCTTTAAACTGATGGCAGCACAGGGCTCTGTCTTCAGAGAGAGGCTGTTCAAGCTCCCAGCCGAAGCATAAAGCTCTGAAAAGACACATTTAGATAAGGTTACACAAAGACTTGTTCAAAGAAATGAACAATTTTCACACAAAGAATAAATTATTGTTTCCTAAATACATTTTTTAAGAAGCTTTAATGGTATCAAATTCAGTACTATCATGAATTCTGTACCTGATCTCACGCTTCTTAGAGACACTAAGAGGCATTTCACGCAACAGACGTACACATTCTCCAGCAGGCAAATCTTGTAGTTTATTCAGCAGCTCCTCCTTTTGGGTAGCTAGGACCAGGACACAGAAACAAAGGCAGTGTCAGTTTACTGAGGTCCACTTTAATGTGAATAAAGTTAAAACATTTGCACATTTTCCTCTCTCTTTCTTGTTGCTATACAAAGTTCTGTCATGAAACTCCAGATGGCACAGGCTGGTCGCTCCTCAACTCAATCTGCTTGCAACCACATCATTCTCTATAGGGCGCAACTGATTGATTAAAGCTGAATGAGCAGCCAATGAGCTCGCTGAACATCCTTCAAATACTCGGTCAGAATTTGCTGTAGCAGTGCAGCACGCTTTCAGAAACCCTCCACCTTCCCCAGCTCCACCTGTATAGACTCCTGGATATATGTATTGGCAGTAGCAAGTCCCGTACTTTCAACACCGCCATGTCCATTACCATGTCAAACAATGAGAGAGTTGTCATGACAGAACTTATATATAAGAGTGACATTAAATAGTAGAAGTTTAGAACGAGTCGTCTTTCCAGTTCAGTTTCATTAAACTTTTTCACTGGGGACGAAGTTCTGAAAGTTACAGTGTTTCGCACCACATCAAATTATTCTATCTTAAAAGATCAACGAAAAGTGATTCCTCGTGATATGAGCCCTGTTTGATTGAAATGATTGGCATTGTGAGTGTTTAACTGCCGCGTACCATCATGAGCGCAGTCCTCCCGCCCTCTAAACACATGCTGGTTTGCAGCGCTGGAAGTGCTGGAGACAGGGTTAGGCGCTCGTCTTCTTCGCGTTTTGGCGGATCGGCTCTGGTTCTGGGAGAGCACAGCGGTCTGATTCCATCCTGAGAAAAGACACTGTACACTTAACTGTGGAAGCTCGTTTCCGTCACAGAATAAAACATTTAAAAAGATAATTGCGACCTTTTATCTCACAATTGCGAGTTTACATCTCGCAATTCGGATTTTATATCTCCCAATTGCATGTTATAAAGTCAGAATTGCGAGATATAAACAATTCTGACTTTATAACACAATTGCGACTTTATATCACGCAAATCTGACTTTATAACTCGCAATTGCGACGTTATATCAAGCGATACTTTTTTATTTTTCATTCTGTGGCGGAAACAAGCTTCCATATTTAACAGTGGAAACAGAGTTGATGAACACATTGCTATAAAGTGGAGAAAACTATTCTGTTTTGAACCTCAAAGTACAGTAGCTCTGTTACAAGAAACTACAAGTAAATGAATGAATAAACGGCATTGCATTTGATAGGAAAATAAAAATGGGCATTTGTTTTAAAGAAAGACAGCACATGCACAAAAGGAATAGCTGATTCTCTACACCTGTGTTACTCTGCTAGCACACCTGAGGGAACTTAGGGGAAACTGACTGCATGCATGCACTAGAAATCAGAAACCGATTAAAAGAAATCGCAAATGTCATTTCAGAGGAAATTTCCAGAATCATTCCAATTGTGTTGAATGTGAAGTGTACGTACACTACTTAAATTGCAATTTAACATGAATTACATAAAAAAGTGCATACAAAATGACTGACGACGGGCCTTTGAATTATTAGACGGCGGCCTTACTTGATCTAAATCTGCTTATTCACAAGCATTTGTTTGCAAATACTATTTTGTTATCTTTGTTATTAAGTAGTAAGCTTATTATGTTTTGAAGTAAAACAGCCATGATTTTTGGTTTAATATGAATTAAAGTTCTTTGGGAAAGCGTATCGAGGCATTCTCTCACTGATAGAGCGACTGGGCATGGAGGACAGGACCATCTGTGTTGAAGAGGACCAGCTGTTCCTCTGCAGGGTATTTGTGTGTTTGGGCTCATGGCAATGCTGTGCCTCTAGGTCTTCTCGGTCCCCATGAGTCAGATCAACTGCAAGACAAAAAACAATGAGTTATTACTTCCCTCCGGTCTTTTATGAATGGGATTTACACCAGGCTGTCTGTATGGTGTGTGTGTGTGTGTGTGTGCCCACATCTCACTGATCGGTGTGATCTCCCAACAGCTTCCAGCTCAATCAGGTCTTCATCTTCATATCCACTGGGAATCGTCTCCATGATCAGGGATGTAGCCATCCAGACTGTCTAGATCTGTGTGCATCAGAGCAGAAACTTAGGAATGAACTTCCTTATTAAAGGGATAGTTCACACAAAAATGATAATTAGCACATGATTTACTCACCCTGAAGTCATCCTAGGTGTCTATGACTTTCATCTTTTAGTCTGCCGGAAGCTAGTTATTTTAGTCGATAAAGTTTTAAATATGGATATTTTTCTTACACAAACACATCGCTTCATTTTCAGAAGGCCTTTATTAACCTCCGCAGAGCCATGTGGAACACTTTTATCATGGACAGATGCACTTTTATGATGGACAGATGCACTTTTATGATGGATAGAAGCACTTTTATGATGGATAGATGCACTTTTATCATGGATAGATGCACTTTTTTGATGGATAGATGCACTTTTATGATGGATAGATGCACTTTTATTATGGATAGAAGCACTTTTATGATGGATAGATGCACTTTTATCATGGACAGATGCACTTTTATGATGGACAGATGCACTTTTATGATGGATAGAAGCACTTTTATGATGGATAGATGCACTTTTATCATGGATAGATGCACTTTTTTGATGGATAGATGCACTTTTATGATGGATAGATGCACTTTTATGATGGATACATGCACTTTTATGATGGATAGATGGACTTTATGATGGATAGATGCTCTTTTATGATGGATAGATGCACTTTTATGATGGATAGATGCACTTTTATGATGGATAGATGCACTTTTATGATGGATAGAAGCACTTTTATGTTGGATAGATGCACTTTTATCATGGATAGAAGCACTTTTATGATGGATAGATGCACTTTTATGATGGATAGATGCACTTTTATGATGGATACATGCACTTTTATGATGGATAGATGGACTTTATGATGGATAGATGCACTTTTATGATGGATAGATGCACTTTTATGATGGATAGATGCACTTTTATGATGGATAGATGCAATTTTATCATGGATAGATGCACTTTTATCATGGATAGATGCACTTTTATCATGGATAGATGCACTTTTTTGATGGATAGATGCACTTTTATGATGGATAGATGCACTTTTATGATGGATACATGCACTTTTATGATGGATAGATGCACTTTATGATGGATAGATGCTCTTTTATGATGGATAGATGCACTTTTATCATGGATATATGCACTTTTATGATGGATAGATGCACTTTTATCATGGATAGATGCAATTTTATTATGGATAGATGCAATTTTATGATGGATAGATGCACTTTTATGATGGATAGATGCACTTTTATCATGGATAGATGCAATTTTATTATGGATAGATGCACTTTTATGATGGATAGATGTACTTTTATCATGGATAAATGCATTTTTAGGGACTAAGCTTGGAAGAGCCAGGACATTTTTTTAATATAACTCTGATTGTATTCGTCTGAAAGAAGGATGTCATAGACACCTAGGATGACTTAATCCTAGTCATGGTGAGTAAATCATCAGCTAATTTTCATTTTTGGGTGAACTATCCGTTTAAGGTGTAATATTTGCATGGGATTTATTTCCCAGACCCATAAACCACATGGGTAAACAAAAAAAAACAAAAAAAGTGTGTCATTCATTTATGTTAAAATCAACATCAAATACACAAGCTATTATAACTGTTATATATATGGTCTATCTCCAATGTATCATAGTGTTTTCCTGGTAACTATCTAATTAAGTTCATTTTGTTTGCTCTGTGTATTTAGACTCTGTGCTCTCCCTCAGTCTTCGTCCGTTGTGTTGTGTTAGGTTGTGTTAGTGTGAGTCTCCTGTTCTGATGTTCCTGTTTCTATTTCTGTTCTAGTTCACTTCAATTAAAATTCTGTCATCATTTACTCACCCTCAAGTTGTTTCAAACCCACAGCAAAATCCTCAGTGTTAAATTAACACTGAGAGTGTGAATAATATAAACTCAGAGCAGAGTGTTAAATGAACACTGAAGCAGTGTTAAAGTTAATGAGATAATTAAGTTAATAATTGAGTGATGATTGAGCATTATTGAAGACACCTGATGTTAACAAGCAGATTCACTGAAAGAGAAAAACAGATTTTTAAGTCACCAATATGGTGATCATTGTTTATTTTAGTTGGGCTCTTGACCCTTAAATCATTAACTTTAGATTTTGTTATAACAGCCAGATGAACAAATAGAAAAGGTGATCTGATGGTGTTGGTTGTGTTTTAACATAATCTTTATTTGACCTGAATCACTGATCTCATTGAGAGCATAATTTTTAAGTCAAGTTTACCTTATGAATTATAGAGGCACTGTCATTGTAGAGCATACCGTTTTTATCCTTATCAATGAAATCCAAATTATCAAATCAATAAAAATAAACAATAAACTTCCAAAAAATACTTTATGTAGGCACACACAGACATCAAGAATTAGCGTATGAATCTCAGCAATGGTTTTAAACAGATCACCTCTAAACATAAGCTCATTATTTATTCATGCAGCAATGTGTGATGGGAGCCATGAATGAGTTTTGATTAATGCCATCCAGAATGCACTGCAACATGATTTCTAATTGTCACCATTGTTGAGATTCACAGGCTGATTCTTGATGCCTGTGTCTAAAAAAAGTTTTATTTTAATTAGCAAAGGTTTTAAGAAATTATTTGGATTACATTGTAAAAGCAAAGGTAAAAAAAAGTACATTGTAAAAACATTATGTTGTACAAGGACAGTGCTGTTTCAATTAATAAAGCAAACCAAATTCAGGTCTTTATATGAATTCAGTGATTCAGGTCAAAGATTGTGAAATAACAATTTTAATGTTAAAATACATCCAACACCATCAGATCACCTTCTGGCTATTATAACTCATGTACAGCAGCCAAACAAAATCTAAAGTTATTGATTTAAGGGTCAAGAGCCCAACTAAAACAAACACTGATCACCATAACGGTGACTCACAATTCTGGTTTTCTCCTTCAGTGATTCTGCTTGTTAACATCAGGTGACTTCAATTATGCTCAATCATCACTCAATTATTCACTTAATTATCTCATTAACTTTAACACTGCTTCAGTGTTCATTTAACACTCTGCTCAGAGTTTATATAATTCACACTTTTCAGTGTTAATTTAACACTGAGGAATTTGCTGTGTGTATGAGTTTCTTACTTCTGCCGAACACAAAGGTAGATGTTTTGAAGAAGGTAACCAGACAGTAATGGACCTTTTTGACTTCCATTGTAGGAAAATAAATGAGTAAATTATGACAGAATTTTAATTTTTAAGTGAACTAACCCTTTAACACCCGCCAAATGCGTGTGGATTTCACCAGTGGCGTGTAATGAAGTCACTCCTTCAAGCCACTTTGGCGGGTTTCCTTTTATATATAAAATAGGCTATACATTTTTCAATTGTAGTCTTTTTAACCTCCTAAGACCCGAGTTTTGGTCAGAGGTGGAAAGTCCAGGGATCAGAAAGTAAAAGTCCTGCCACATTTTTATTCCACCCACAGCAAAAACTCCAGTGTTAAAGTTAATGAGATAATTAAGTGAATAATTGAGTGATGATTGAGCATTATTGAAGACACCTGATGATAACAAGCAGAATCACTGAAGGAGAACGTCACATTTTTTAAGTCACCATTATGGTGATCAGTGTCTGCTTTAGTTGGGCTCTTGACCCTTTATTCTTTCATTTTAGAAGTTGTTTGGCTGATGTACATGAGTTATAACAGCCAGATGAACAACAAGCAAAGCTGATGTGCTGCTGTTGGTTATGTTTTGACATAATCATCATTTGTAGAGTTTAATCTTTTGATTACACAGTATAACATTTTCAGAAATTTAAATAATATCCGAAAGATTTCTTAAAAGCTATTCTATTCTAATTACTTTATGGCCACACACAGACATCAAGAATCAGACTGTGATTCTCAACAATGGTGACAATTATATAGCATGTTGCAGTGCATTCTGGGTGCCACCAATCAAAATTCATTCATGGCTCCCATCATGCATTGCGGTATGAATAAATTATGATCTGAATTGTCTTAGTAATTTCCTTTTCCTAATTGAATATTCTGTTTATCACCATTGTTGAGATTCATACACTGAATCTTGATGTATGTGTGTGCCTAAAAGAAAGATTATTATTTATTTATCAAAACAACGTGTAAGATATCATTTGGTTTATTTTGAAAAATCTGGATATAATGTTATAGAATCACTGTGATGCTGTTATGATCATTATACATTTAAGTCAGAGAGTAGGCTTTAAATGAGTTCAGTGATTCTGGTCAAATGATGATTATGTCTAAACATGATCTACAACATCTGATCTGATCTGATCTGATCTGATCTGATCTCTTTGTTCATCCAGCTGTTAAAACAGCCAAACAAAATATTTAGTTAAACATTTAAAGGTCACCTGCCCAACTAAAGCAAACACTGATCACCATAACGGTGACTAAAATATAGATTTTCTCCTTAAGTGATTCTGCTAGTTAACATCTGGTGTCTTCAATAATATCTCAATCATCACTCAATTATTCACTTAATTATCTCATTAACTTTAACACTCTTGAGTCTGGATCCAAATAAACTCCCAGTAAAGTTCATTTAACACTGGAGTTTTTGCTGTGGGTGGAATAAAAATGTGGCAGGACTTTTACTTTCTGACCCCTGGACTTTGTGATGTCCACGTATGTGGACAACCAGGTCTGCGGAGGCTACAGACAAAAATAAGTAAACTAAGTAAACTGTCAAAATGTCAGTCTTGGTGAGTATTCATAGTCATAGTCAGTTGTTATAAGTGAATGTAAACAGTTGAGAAAGAAAACGCATGTGTATGCGTATGTTTGTATAATGCCAAATTATGAGATAATATTAAAATTATCTTTATGGCAGTTTTTCCCCATGGTATTGGTGTCAAAATTGTGGCCAGTGAAAATGCTAAATTGCTAATAACTTTGAAAAACCACTAGCCACAGTGGCTGGTGTGCAAAGTTAACATCAGGCCCTGCTTGCAGATATTATAATATTAACAAAATAAAAGG